TGTTTGCCTCTCGTTCATGAAGCAAAGAACTCGCTGCCCACATTCGGTGTGTCATGACATCGAGCCAAATATTTTGCTATCCGGCCCTCCCACTTAGTCAATAAGTACATATATATTTGTTAGGTGATTATTTATGAAAATTAAAGCAGACGAACATATTAGGCGTTTAAAACAACTGCAGGCAAAAGTGTAGGTCGATTCATATTTCTGCTATCGTCAAAGGGAAGCTGTCGATAGTAATGGTGGCTTTTTCATTCGTTTTTACCTAAGAGAAAACTNGAGTTATAAAGTTTTCCCAAAGGTCGTGCCGCAAAGTTTTTTCTGTAGTTACCTTTTCTATGGCGTGTTCTTCCTAGCTATGTTAGCTGGATCAGTCAAGAACGCCTCACTTTTTCAAAAATTTAACTTAAATTTTATTGGTTTTGCGCGTGTGTGACTTAAGCGAACCGATCAGGTGTCATTCAAGTCTTCCTCTTTCCTTGATTGAAATGTGATGTTTACGAAATTCGCCTCGATGGATAAGATAGAATTAATATACATGGCTGTGGTATTTGTTTTTTGCTGAGTTCCGTAGTTTATTTTTAAATTGTCCTCCAAAGTTGTCTCAAATTAAAGTCTTGAAAAGTGTCACGACAGGCCTTCGCTCGAGTGAAATTTCATTTCCGTAAAACTTTGATTATAGGCACATGAATGTCTTACAACACACAAGAAATGAGGGAAATCTGTGTCTCAAGCAAAATCGACCGGACCGCTTTTACATAGACACTCTCTTAACATTCTAGACGGAAGTGACAAAAAAGGGAAAAATATGGAAATGGAAAAGGACGCAGAGTGTTACGATAAAACATTTATTTTTTAAACTTACCCAAAAAAGTACAAATCATAAGTGTTTTTCCAAAACGAACCCGTCCGGACTTGAACTTCGAATCTTTTTTATCCCAAATAGCAAGCCCCATCAATTCGGCGACGAGGCCATACGGATAAGATATTGTACAACTGCTTTTGTTCGGTTTTGGCGAGGACAAATTTTTGTGCATTGTACAAATTATGAATCAGGGTTCCAAGAATATTAAACGTACATATAAACTACAATTTTTGCTGATAATATTTTTCATTCATGATGCAAATTTTTTTTTTCGAAACCAGGAATTTATATTAAATAAATATACCTCGTAATAGAGTGTAAAAAAATATTGAAAAATAAAGTCGCAGCAGTTACCTTCAAAACTAAAAAGGTGACATATGAGCGAACCACAAGGAAGTTCCTTTTACTAAAGTGCAAAGAGAATCAGCGATTATTGTGTAAAAAAGGTAAACGTATAAACTAGTGCTTACCTTAGGTTTTTACTAGGTTTTTTCGCATTGCCAGTTCAGACCGTACATTCTATATCAATTGAACAATCAATTGGAGTACTTTCCAATTGAGCTTAGTAAGCAAAATAACAACGACCATTTAGTTTGGAAGCGAAGTTGAAAGCTGCAACCTTTTGTTCTCGTAACCTGTCGTCTACATTGATTTGAATGATGCACTTTACATTGGACGATCCTATTTACAGTGATAGATGTAAACTTATCTAAGGCGGCATTGTAACTATAGAAGAAAGGAAAATTACAAATTAAAGCTGTCAAATGTATATCCTGAGCTAAACAGAAAACTAATGAAAAAAAAAAGCGTGATGTTTTTCAGCCTTTCCACCCAATTTACATCACTTTTTTTTAAAAAAAAAAAAATTAAGTTACATTGTAGCATATATACTGTATTTCACGGAAAGGAAATTCCACGCCCAAGGAATATTATGATAAAAGATACTCTTAATTTATTGTGATTAGCTGTAGCATATGCTTCCTTGTCGTTACGAGGAACTAGTTTCTAGAGAAAAAGGTGATGTATTTACAATCTATGAACTTCATCTATCCGGGAAGAATCAGAATAGACATATTTAAACCTTTGTACACCGGATTTAGTCAAGCTTATCCATTGTACAAAATTTTAAATATTTCTATTGTGATTTATCTTATTACTAGCATTTTTAGAGCAATTCACGACAACATTATCATGTCAGCAAAAGATAAACTTAGCAGCCAAATTATTTTTAAACGGCTGAATTAAATTGATAGCGAAGTTACCCCAATAAACAAAACTCTGAAGCGTATATGAGCACGATCCTTCGCAGTAAAGCACTATTTGAGCAATAGTGAAAATCAGACCTGAAAAAAATTTCAGGCCTGTACGGGATTCGAACCACTGACCTCTGCGATACTAGTGCAGCGCTCTACCAATTGAGCTAACAAGCCAACTGGGAGCAGGCCATCAAATTAATTCGATATAAACCCGTAGATGATAAATCAAACAACAACAAACATATGAAACATATGTGTGAACTGCGGTTATGAGACGTATATGAGCACGATCCTTCGCAGTAAAGCACTATTTGAGCAATAGTGAAAATCAGACCTGAAAAAAATTTCAGGCCTNAATTGGTAGAGCGCTGCACTAGTATCGCAGAGGTCAGTGGTTCGAATCCCGTACAGGCCTGAAATTTTTTTCAGGTCTGATTTTCACTATTGCTCAAATAGTGCTTTACTGCGAAGGATCGTGCTCATATACGTCTCATAACCGCAGTTCACACATATGTTTCATATGTTTGTTGTTGTTTGATTTATCATCTACGGGTTTATGTCGAATTAATTTGATGGCCTGCTCCCAGTTGGCTTGTTAGCTCAATTGGTAGAGCGCTGCACTAGTATCGCAGAGGTCAGTGGTTCGAATCCCGTACAGGCCTGAAATTTTTTTCAGGTCTGATTTTCACTATTGCTCAAATAGTGCTTTACTGCGAAGGATCGTGCTCATATACGTCTCATAACCGCAGTTCACACATATGTTTCATATGTTTGTTGTTGTTTGATTTATCATCTACGGGTTTATGTCGAATTAATTTGATGACCTGCTCCCAGTTGGCTTGTTAGCTCAATTGGTAGAGCGCTGCACTAGTATCGCAGAGGTCAGTGGTTCGAATCCCGTACAGGCCTGAAATTTTTTTCAGGTCTGATTTTCACTATTGCTCAAATAGTGCTTTACTGCGAAGGATCGTGCTCATATACGTCTCATAACCGCAGTTCACTCATATGTTTCATATGTTTGTTGTTGTTTAAAACTCTGAAGATGAGATAAAACGTGCAGAGGATTTTCTGACATAGTTCCCAAAAAACGCTTCACGCCTTTTCCCTGTAACATTAGCACAGTTTTGGTAAGGATTGCCATACTGCGCCCACTGTCTCAAACTAGAATCCTATGGTCAACAAATGAGCGAAAATGGTTCGAAAGCAACGAGGAAAAGCTGGGTTTCAGCCCTGCAATAAAGCCGGTTAGAGGTTAAGTAAACTGTTTTCAGCCACCTTAGGTAACGGAGATCCATCACTAAAAGACAAAACCTCTGTTACAGCCGGCTTCTTCAGTTTTTTCTACCCGAGAATACTTTTGCATGACATTATTGTCGTGAAGCGTTTCTACGCTCAAAATTGACTTCCTTGTTTTTAACTGTTTATCAGGTAAGTTGTTATTTCGTTAACCCTGAAGTAGAATGTGACAGGAAGCGTTGCGACATAAAATAGTTGCGTTATGTATTGCAGTTTAAATTCATAGCTTAATCTCCTTCAAAGACCTTTCGAGAGGTAGAATTATGAAAGGCCGGTCTTTTAATACTTTAAACTAAAACTGAGCCCAGAATGTAAGTCGACGGTTTTCCATTTCAAGCCGGCGAGCAGCCACTGTCATTAGGTAAGGTGTTAATTTACTTTGGGCTAAAGCCCGAATATCTTGAGCTAAAAGGAAAATAGGGGTAAAGTTCTTTTAAAAGGAAAAAATAAAAGAGTTTTTGCGAAGGTCATTTTCAGATGCAGCTTGACTGTGATTATTCTCGGTGTGATCGAGCAAAATTGTTAAAGTCTCGGTGCTACGGTGTTTGCTGTCCTTTTTGTTCCTGTTTTTATCTAAAGATTTTTACACTCAACATACCCTATTAGTTGAAAGTATAAGACATTTTAATTAGGATGAATCTTATCGGCCATGATCCGTGCCCCGCGACAGCCATGTAGTCCTGCACAAAACGTCCGACTCTGTATCGCCTACTACTGTTTGGTTAACTAACCAACTGAAATCATCATTCCAAGTAATTGATAATGGCAAAAAATCACTTTTCCGAATTGCTGCAGTGAGCACTCAATGAGCTTTCGAATATCAAAACTACAGAATTGACCCACTACTTTACTAGTTTTAAACGTAGCACGCTGCACGCGCAAAATACCGCGTGCATTCCAAGTTATACCGGCAAAGGAACAAACTGCACTTTTTTCTACTTTCCAAAATGTGTGCGGGGCAAGAGTAGTAGCTTTGTCACTTTGTTTAAGGCCCACATTAATATTGCGCGGATGGAACTTTGTTGTTGTTGTTGCGATGACTAGCAACATTTTAACGATTATTTTAATCTGCGACTATAATTGGTTGGATGCCGATGCCGCTTATTGACTGTTGTCATGAATGGCATTGCCTGAGAAAGTAAAGCAAGGTAAAGCCTACTTACGAGCCATGTGGCCCATCGGGCCGGCCCTTAACTCCGGTTGGATGGGATGCTAGTCCATCGCAGGGTTACCCCCAGTATTAAATTCGCCGGTACCCATTTGATTCTCCTGGGTGAAGAGAGGCACTGTGAGAGTAAAGTGTCTTCCCCAAGAACAGAACACAATGTCCCGGCCAGGGCTCGAACCCGGACCACTCGATCCGGAGTCGAGCGCATTAATCATGAGACCGTCGCGCCTCCACCCTAAGAAAGTGATTAGTGTTAATGATAACGAAAAATGTGTGCAATATAATTTGGATACTAAGCTGAACCCGACTGAACCATGGCCTGAGCCAGGTGCTCGGTGAGTGAAGAAGCGGGTGAGCCAAAACGACATAAATCAGTAATCAGTAGGCACGATAGCATCATCACTTCACCATCAACTTCTTGGACATTTTTATTGTATCGATTACAAAAACTGAAAAAGACTTGTAATTTTTGGAAAAGAAACCGAAACTTCCACTCGTTCATTAGAATCAAGGTAAATGTAGTCCCACATTGTCTTCACTGAAATATCCTGAATAAGGCCCCCCCCCCTCCCGTAGGTATGGATTTCATAAAGGCAGGTTGATAGTTATCATAAGAAAGTAAGAAAGGTCCACTTTCCACTCTGAGTTTCAGATTTCCTCTAGATCATTTCCAAAGTCATTTAAAGTGTTTTCATCATCATCATCCGAGCATGTAATTTCTGAGTCCTAATTATGAACTCCAGAGCCTCCAGAACCCTCTTCGTCATCATCATCAGTCCACTCTACATCTTCAGTTTGTTCGAAGTAGTCTGCGAGTTCAAGGACGTCTGGAAGATCTTCAGTTTCTGGATCTGAAGCATCGGTATCTGGAAACTCGCCTCCAGCACCTAGACTGCCTTCGGTACCTACAATCGTTTTCAAAGAATCTTCAATATCATCCACATTATAATCATAATTTGAATCTGCAATTTTGTTTGGATCACGTTGGGCTCATTAGTAAGTTTACTTTCTAATTTTAGAATGATTATCCATGATAGGTTTCATGGGGCTTACCGTCACTGTCGACAGATTCATTACCATCACTGTCTCGCCTGTCAGCTGCTTCACCGTCATCCAACTCATCTTTAGCACAAAGAGAAGCATCAGTATCCCATTAATCCTGCTGTTAATCACCATAATACGTTCCACGGGGCTTACCTTCATTGTCGCTGAATTCATTATCATCATAATCCCACCATTCATCTTCGTCATCGTCATCCAACTCACCTGTAGCATAAATAGACTCGTCAATATCATCTAAATTTTGTTGTGAATGATCATGATAAGTTTCATGGGGCTTACCTTCGCTATCGATGAGTTGGTTTTCATCATCGTCCTGCCATTCATCTTCGTCATCGCCATCCAACTCACCTTTAGCACAAGAAGAGTCCTTAGTATCATTTTCATCTTGCTTTGAATTACCTTGATGAGTATAATAGGGTTTACCTTCACTGTCGCTGAATTCATCATCATCATTGTCCCGCCATTCATCTTCGTTATCGTCATCCAAGCCATCTTTAGCAAAAAGAGACTTCTCAGTACCATCGTAAATCTTCTACGAATCACCACAATCAGTTTCAAATGGCTTACCTTCGCTATGGACAGCTTCATAGTCATCACCTTCTTTCCAGTCATCTTCTTCAATGTCATCCAGCTCACCTTTAGCACAAAAGGTCCGTAGTATCATTTTAATTCTGCTGCAAACCTCCAAGATAAGTTTCATGGGGCTTACCTTCACTATCGCTGAATTCATTATCAACATTTTCCCGCCATTCATCTTCGTCATCGTCATCCAACTCACCTTTCACAAAAGGAGAGTTCTCAGTAGCATCATAACTCTGCTATGAATCACGATGTTAAGTTTCATGGGTTTACCTTTACTGTCGATAGCTTCATTGTCATCTCTTTCTTTCCACTCGTCCTCTTTGTTGTCATCCAGCTCACCTTTAGCACAAGAAGAGTCCTTAGCATAATTTTGCATTCTGCTGTGAACCCCCGTCATAAGTTCCATTGGGCCTACCTTCACTATCGTTGGATTCATTATCATCATTCCACTCATCTTCGTCATCGTCATCCAACTCACCTTTAGCACCAAGAGAATCGTTAATATACTCTTAATGTTGCTGTGAATCACCTTGATAAGTTCCACGGGGCTTACCTTCACTATCTCTGATTTCATTATCATCATTGTCCCGCCACTCATCTTCGTCATCGTCATCCAACTCCCCTTTAGCAAAGAAAAAGAGTTCCCAGTAGCATCAAAACTTTGTTACGAATCACCATGATGAGTTGCATGGGCTTACCTTCACTATCGACAGCTTTATAGTCATCACCTTTCCACTCATCTTCTTCATTGTCATCCACCTCACCTTTGGCACAAAGAGAATTCTTAATATCTTCTTAATTTTCCAGTGAAGCAACATGATGTGTTCCATGGGGCTTACCATCGCTATTGCTGAATTCATTGTCATCATTGTCCCGCCATTTATCTTCATCATCGTCATCCAACTCGCCTTTAGCACAAGAAGAGTCCTTAGTATCTATTTAATCATACTATGAACTTCCAAGAAAAGTTTTACGGAGTTTACCTTCACTCTTGTTGGATTCATTATCATCATTCCACTTATGTTCTTCATCTTCATCCAACTCACCTTTAGCACAAAAAGAGTCGTTGGTATCATCTAATTCTGCTATGAATCACCCTGATAAGTCTCATGGTGCTTACCTTCACTATCGTTAGCTTCATTGTCATCACCGTCTTTCCAATCATATTCTTCATTGTCATCCTGCTCACCTTTAGCATGAGAAGAGTCCTTAGTATCATTTCAATTCTGGTGTGGACCTCCATTATAAGTTTCATGGGGCTTACCTTCACTATCGTTGGATTCATTATCATCATTCCACTCATCTTCTTTAACGTCATCCAACTCACCTTTAGCACAAAGAGGATCGTTAATATCCTATTAATTTTTCTCTGTATCAACATAATAAGTTCCATGGGCCTTACTTTCACTATTGCTGAAATCATTATCATCATAGTCCCACCATTTATCTTCGTCATCATCATCCAACTCACTTTTAGAAAAAAGAGCGTTCCCAGTTGCATCATAACTCTGATATGAATCACCAGGATGAGTTTCACGGGCTTACCTTCTCTATCGACATCTTTATAGTCATCACCTTTCCACTCATCTTCTTCATTGTCATCCAGCTCACCTTTAGTACAAGAAGAGTCCTTAGTATCATTTTAATTCTGTTGTGAACCTTTAAGGTGAGTCTCACGCGGCTAACCTTCACTATCGCTGAATTCCTTGTCATCATTGTCCCACCATTCATCTTCGCCATCGTCATTCAGCTCACCTTCAGCGCAAAAAAGTCCTTAGTATCTATGTAACTATGCTGAAAACCTCCAAGATAAGTTTTACGGGGTTTACCTTCACTCTTGTTGGGTTCATTATCATCTTTCCACTCATCTTCGTCATCTTCATCCAACTCACCTTAACCACAAAGAGAGTCATTAGTATTATCTTAATTGTGCTCTGAATCACCCTGATAAGTTTCATGGGGCTTACCTTCACTATCGACAGCTTCATAGTCATCATCGTCTTTCCACTCATCTTTCTCATTGTCATCTAGCTCACCTTTAGCACAAGAAGAGTCCTTAGTATCATTTCAATTCCGGTGTAAACCTTCATTATGAGTTTCATGGGGCTTACCCTCACTATCGTTGATTTCATTGTCATCACTCCACTCATCTTCTTTACCGTCAGCCAACTCACCTTTACCACAAAAAGAAAATCGTTAATCTCGTCTTAATTTTGCCGCGAATCACAATGATAAGTTTCACGGGGCTTACCTTTGCTATCGCTCAGTTCGTTTTCATCCTCGTCCTGCCATTCATCTTCGACATCGTCATCCCACTCACCTTTAGCCCAACAACAGTCCTTAGTATCATTCTAATCTTGCTGCGAATCACTTTGATAAGAATAATGGAGCCTACCTTCACTATTGCTGAATTCATTATCATCGTTGTCCCGCCACTCATCTTCGTCATCGTCATCCAGCTCACCTTCAGTACAAAGAGAGTCGTAAGCATCATCTTAATTTTGCTGTGAATCACCTTGGCAAGTTTCATGGGGCTTACCTTCACCATCGATAGCTTCATTATCATCGCCGTCTTTCCACTCATCGTTTTCGTTGTCATTCAATTTACCTTTAGCGCAAGAAGAGTCCTTACTATCATTGTAAGCTGTGAATCACCATAATCACCTTTACCTTTATCGTCGTCATAAAAATTTTCGTGAACTTAACTATGTGTTACCATAATTAATAAGTTAGACACTAGTATCATCCTCATTCTGGTATAAAACTTCAGTCTCGTGATAGGTACCTTCCGAATTAAGAGCTTCATCAATATCTGCCGATTCATAGGATGATCCTGACGACTCTCTAAATTCTGAGGGTATTTTTAAAATTCAACGATCGACCTATCCATGTCGCCTTCATTCCAAACCGAATTCACGGAGTCAAAGGGTGTCACCTTTGTTATCGAGATTGTTATTAGTATCATCTTAATCTCGATATGAATCTTCAGACTTTCGGGGCCTACCTTCATTATCGAAAACGTAATCAGAATCATTGTCTTTCCACTCAGAATCTTCAGAGCGATGAGAACGACGATGACCTTTAGTATCGACTGATTCATCGTGAGTATCATCCGCATTTCGATCCCAATCTTTGTTATCGATGTCATCTTCAATATCACGAGAATAGTAGGCATCATTTTGTTTCTGATCTGAATTACCACTGTCTTCGGCCTCATATACAGAGTACACAGACTCATTTATATCGTCGCTCTCGTCTGAGTCGTCCGTATCTTGTGGGTCGGCTCCATATCCAAGGGTGTCGTCAGCGTTAAAATCTTTTGTAAGATCATCCACATTCGGACTTGCGTGATTATCTCCGTAACTGAAGGCTCTAAAACGTTCCTTGTCACTTTGATCATCGTCATTCTGCTCAGACCTGGTGTTAATGTAATCATCGTGGAAAGGAAAACCCGCCATGCTATCCACCTTTTCTCCAGAAGAGCTTCGAATAAGATGCTCGTCGGCATCATAACCAATTTCAACTTGATCGTAATTGGGCCCATCTTTCACGTACCTGAGCAACGAGTAATCATTTAGGAATTCGGGATCTTCCTCGACGGCGACTGGTTCCCCGTAAGGAGAACGCAACCTGGCCGCAAAGCTATCATCATAAATGGCCTCACGAGAGTCCCTGTCATGGATTAAAGTTTCGCTGTACTTAACTTGCCCCACTTTGGTGAAATCATGGTCTTCAGCATCGATTTCTTTCCCATCGCGTTCATTAAACTTTTCGGGATACCCCGTGTGCCCTTTCTCTTTCTCGTAGTCAGTTTCTTCATCAGAATATTCGTAGTTTTCTCGATAGGTACGCCAGTTTCCGTTAAGCCCAGTATCTTCAATCATCTGATCATCAAAAACATGGTCGCGTTTGAGGGGATTACTGACTGGGTCAGTTTCCACACTGATAGATTCATGCATGTAAGGTGGTTGATGAGAAAAAGACTGATCCTCAGAAGGTTCATCAATCTTCTCTTCGTCTGTAATTTGCTCTTTATCAATAGATCTATAGTGACCAGTATCGACTTGTTCTTCATGGGATCTTGTTTTACCGAGACTATCATCTCGATCCTCACTTGCTTTGTACGCTCCTTCTGTGTCGAGGGCGATTTTGTCAGGAGGTTGTTTGATGTCCTGTATGGCTCCTGTATAGAGCAACAGAAATCTTTGTAAGAATGGAGATAATTATGAAAGCTTTCTATCGAGATCAAAACTGACGTCATCAGAATGTAGAAGACTGTTGACTGATTTTTCCTTTCCATCTTAAGTCCAGTGTCCAGCCATACGTAGCGGATTGTTATTCTCAATCCTATCGTTACTCTTTGAAACCTTTGATGCATCATCATTGAGAATTGACTTATCCTGAGCTTAAGTATAATTTGGTTAACGCGCCTAAAACTAAAAAACTCACGGGCATAACTATAGTAGATCACAAACTAAATGATTTAGAATCACAATGCTAAAACACGTATGTGCGCATAGAACTCTGTTAATCTGTTGGTCAGTGACGCGACAAGACGGCATTCTCGGTTGGCAGATTAAGTAAGGCATCCCGAGAATGTTTACCTACCATCACTCAATAGTGGTCTTAATCTTGGAATGGGCCGAGCATTGGCTCCCTGTTGTGCGAACACAACCAAGAACACAATCCCGACCCACAATTTCATTTCTCGTTAAAAAATCTCTCTCAAAAGAAAATTTTGTCTCCGCAACGCAACTCAACTCCTAATGGGAAGAAAAGCTCCGCAATACTGATTTTACGTCACAAACAGAAATTTCTAAGATTTGCAATCATACGTCATAATTGATGAAATAATTACATGAAATGGAGACTACATCATCTGCCCGCAAATCACTCATGGTCGTCACTTTTTGTTAATCTTGGACAGCAAGGGCAATACCACTTAGTCCTTTTCAACAAGAAGTTAGCCTTTAAGTCTTAAAACTAAATAAATGCTCTACCATTTTATTTCAAAAGTAGATCGCTGCGCGTGCAAAATACTGCGCGCATCATACTGGCGAGGAAACGGAGAAGTACTTTTCTCCTCTTTCCAAAACGTATACAAGACAAGAGTAGTTGCTCAGTTTCTTTAAGCGGTGTGAATACTGCTACCAAAAAGAAGGGCTTTTGTGGGGTTCGAAGAGGGGCATGGGTCTTAACGCTATTATTTCGTGCCCGTAAGAGATGGAGGGATCCTTCATTGATAAGTCTTGTTTCAGCTATATGTCGTATCAGAAGCTTAGGGTCGATAGATAAACAAAGAATCTGGGGAAGTATTATTACACCCCCCCCTTTCCCCAACCCCCCTCCTCTCACTCACACACACACACACACTCACACACACAAAAAAAAGCAGTGTCAATTAATTGAATACACTATAATTCCCCATACACGACGTAACGACCAAGAGAAAATTCAAGATGGCGCATTCAGGTATTTCTGCCGGTGCTAAAGGAAGACTTGTCGCTGTGATAGGAGACGAGGTAAGGATCAATTGTCTTCATGATATTGTTCAGTTAGCGTCAGAATGACAGAGGTTCACTCTTCTTGTTTAAGGACACTTGCACTGGCTTTCTTTTGGGAGGAATAGGAGAAATTAACGCCAAGAGACAGAAAAATTTCCTGGTTGTAACTAAAGGTAAGAAATTTCTCTTTGGTTGCAGGGAATCATGTTTATTAAGTCGAGTAAACTTGGCATAAAGATTGCAAAGCAATCAAAAGGGAAATCGAAAAATACCCAAATTTAAATTAACGAAAAAACTTTTAATCCTTTGTGAAGCTGTGAAATGATGTGGGAACTCATCATTTGTTAAGTTATTTTACAGTGGTGCATATAGCAGTAAAGAACCATTACTACTGTATTTCGAATACTGCAGTTAATAAATTATAAAAGAATTCACCAGCAACAAAATACCAAAACTGCACGCTCTTCTAGCGGATTCCTTGCTTACCCAATACAGACCTCGTGACAGCATCGTGATGTAAGCAGCGAATAAGGTCTCTTGAGCAAAGCATCATCGTGCAATAATAACAACTCCTTGCAGAAGAGATAAACCCTTGTGTAGTTATCAGTCAAGAGAGCTACTTTTTGGGTCTTGGCAATGGAAGGGTAACTTTTTTTAACATCTTGTTTTTGTTTGTTCTTGTTTGAATAACTTTCCATTTGTTCTCTTCAGAAACTTCAGTGAGTGAACTTGAAGAAGCCTTCCAGCAGTTTACAAACAGAAGTGATATTGCCATTCTTTTGATCAATCAAAATGTAAGATCTTGATTGGTTTTCTTTTAGAGGGTAATTCAAGATAGTGACAAACACCCACATCCATAATGAATACTTCATACTTGGTTGTAAGAAAAGTGGAGTGGAACTAATTACTGTGCAACAGCACCACAGCTTTCCTTATTTTCAGTAGCGTACTGTGACTAGAAGTGTAGCTACTCTGCTAAGATGGAATACTAGTCCGTTGATGTTACCCTTCCATATGTGATAAGTTTTCTTTGATATTTGCTTTTAACCTCTGAAGGCAGGCAGTGCAGGAACTCAAACCTGGGAATCTCAGATCAGAAGCTTTCCCTGCTCAACAGGCTGTCTTAGCATCATAGACTTTCCTGGCTAGGTAGTCTGATTGGCACATTTTTTGACTTGCCTTGTAGCTTAAGCTGTTTTGTTATTTTATGGGTTAATTTGTCTGATAAGGTGTTAATTTTGTAAAATATTGAATTTTAGATTGTGTTTTTCTAGTCTGGTACCGCTGTTTCTGCTTTGTTGGCTCCACTGCCTTCATTTTGATGAACTGTGAATACTTTTACATGAAAATCATATATGCAAATTGCAGTTTTAAGAAATTAATATGAAAGCAAAGATTTCCTTTACTGCTAAGAACACTATGAAGATGACATTTGTATATATACCTTCATTTTATTGATCAATTCTTTTTTAATAACTTACCAGCTTTGGAGGCTACTAATCATTAGGCTAAAGGACCTGGGGCCTGTTTCTGGAAAGTCCCGGTAACTTAATGGGCCCATAAAGCTGTTCTTTGTTTATTCAAGATGGGGATTTCAAAAGTTCTGAAAATAACAAAATGAAATCATCAACCAAAGAAAACAAAATGGAGTGGTTTGGGGGCCAGAACCTGCTTTTCTATCCTTTAAATTTTTATTTTAAAACATGGCTTCAGGCCTGTTAAGTTACTAGGACTTTTGAGAAACGGGCCCCAGGATATTTGATCACCATTGTATCTTTGTATTGCTTATTCTCCTAATCATATATATCTATTTTATGGTTCATTTTGTTTTAAGATTGCTGAGGAGATCAGGCATATTCTTGATAATTATGATAAAGCTATTCCAGCTATTCTTGAGATTCCATCCAAGGAGCATCCATATGACCCATCTAAGGACTCAATTTTAAGAAGAGCAAAGGTAATTATGCATTTCTCCCAGATTTTGGAACATATTTTTGGTAGTTATTATGCGCCATGTGCATATTACCGGTCTGTCAAATAGTTTAATAAACCAACGCTTTATCAAGTGTAACCTCCTACCTCCTTTTTCTTTTGTTAGGAAAACATGCTCATTAATTAGAAACATGATTATATGCCCCTAAATAATACTTAACATGATTTCGCCAATAGGAAAAGTGAAGTCTGAAGATAAACTCATGAACAGGAATTTTATGGTTATTTTCTGTCAAGCTGACATCATAATAAAGACAATTCTATAGCGTGGGACCTTTGATAATTCAGTTTTGTCTAAGGAAGAAACTACAACAGCAAACAACTTAAAGGATGGAGTCTATTTTTTAATTCTATCCAAAACAAGAACTGCCCATACTGGTGATGGAATGCCCATACTGGTGATGAAAACTAAACTCAGCCTTTTTTTCTTCTTTGATGGCCAACGGCCAATTTTTAAAGGAATTCTATTGGAAAGTTATTTCTAGTAAACATCATTACTATGGGGAGGGAAGTTAGACTGGGGGAAAAATATGAGTTGGTTTCATTTAGTTGACACTGAGCACATCAGTGTTATACTTGGATTATCATTAATTGATGATCCTTTGCAAATTTTTAACATTTCACTGTGAAATTTGTTGAAATTTCACAGTGAAATAGTTTATCAACTTGTGGGTTTCTAGATTTTATTGTTGAGCCTATTATAGCATCAAGGGGCTGAATGGGCTTCTGAGTCAAAATGTCAACAAGCAATGTTTTCCTTTGCAAAGTTCTTAGTACCACTGAACTAAACAAATGAGAGTTTAGAAAATGCTTTTCTATCACATTCAGTGTCTCAATCAATAATAAGAAAACTAGACCGTCCACTTTATTCATTCCACTTAACCTATGGATGAAAATTGTTTCTGTGCATTTTCCATGAAGTAATCTGTATATCTGAACAGCAGTTTATGTCAGCCTGAAACTGAAATCCTAGTTTTTGTTAATAATTGAGTACATTCTCTCTTTGCTGTTAGGGTTTATTCAGTGCAGAGGACTTCAAGTAGTTATCTTGAAATGCTGCTTACAAGAACCAATCATCAAGAGAATGAATTTATAAAAATTTGTCCATATCTTAATGCTATTTAATTAATGATAGTCGTATTATCCCGATTGAAAGCTTGAAAATTGTTCTTAAAGGTATAGTTTCTTATTAATCATGTGAAAATTTCAGTTTCCTGCATTTCAGTCACTGTATAAGGCATTACCTAAGTATGGGATAGTTAGTAATAGACTAAAACACTTGGCTCAAAATGCAAGACTAAAATAGGAAATGACAGTGATGGAGACCAGCCAGGACCTTTAGATGAAAATCTGAGAGTAAAACATATAATTGAGAAAGTCAGAAACAGGAGAAAACAGATGAAAATGAGAGATCATAACCTGTCAGTCAAAGATATGCTGTATTTCTTATACCAGATCCATTTAAGGCCCACATGTTCAGTATTCACTTGACCTCACTCCCATGAGTGACCAAGACAGAATTTCTCCTTACAATACCAATATAGTATCAAGCAGACAAGTGATGAGAATAAAGAAATATATCAATAGAGGATTATAAGTTGATCCAGTAACAAACTCACTAAACTGTATAACTATAAGAATTGTATTGCAGCCAGTAAGGGGAATTGCTAAATAAATGAGATCTTGGGAGCGAAAGGGTTAGGGCTAACAATGAAGTCATACTCTAAGTCATAATTAGAAGCACAAAGCACTGTGGTCAAGCAAAAATCACAATAACAGAATTGGAAGCAATACTGCTGTTGATTCCTTCGCTTATGATTCATTGGAAACCAGATTGAAGGAGGTTTGTGCTATTAGAGGGTCAAGAATCCAGCATTGTGATTAAGTGTTATTTCCACCTTAGCTTTTTATTCCATCTCTGTTTTGCTCAGATCATAAGCATCTGAGACATGAGTAAAATCGAAATACTTCTGACACAATTTAATTCCGAGGCTCATAGAAAATTAACTTCGTGAACTACTCAGCAGCATTGTACTAACACATACAACTAATAATTCTAGAAAGGTTCTGAAAAGACTTGTTGCGCCAATTTCAACACAGAAGGCAAGACAAGTCCTAGGTGGCTGTTGGTTGTGAAGCTTACTCAATTATTTGACTTTCACGGTTGAATATTTCGGTTGTACACTAGTACACAACCAAGGCTATCACGTGATAGTCTCTTAACTTCATGTCGTTTTTGTGTCAAACTGACTGCAAGCAGTTTTTTTCCTAGCTAAGCGAAACGGTTAGTCTTCTTGTAGGTCGAAAAAATCTCCGTTTATTTGCACGGCATCGACACTTGAACTTTCTCGAATGGCTTCAGCGAGGCTGGTGGTTTCTCACGCGCTTTGAAGCTTGAAATTGAAAAAGAGCGGTATAACCGTGATGGCTTGGGACAGTAAATAGTGGGTTCATTTGTCGGTCTCAATCTAAGCGCGCGAAGAACTCTGTGGGCTAGTTGTCGAGTGTTTATGTCCAACAGTTGGCGTGGACTTGATGGGCTTATTCCGTCGTAGAGAGCTTTTAGATTGTAATAAATATATGTTCTGTCTAACGGATGAAGAGAAGGTTCGCTTCTACTCCTATGGCTAGCGCAGGCGGCCTGTGTCTCGGAGCTCGTTCAATCACCGCTAGCTTTGGGAGTATTAACCCGCGGTTGTTCGGACAATTGAGATCAGAAAGAAGTCCCCATTGGCAATCAAAACCCTGGCTCTTCAGAGTATAGTATGCTGTTGGACATTTGGAAAAAGAAATTAATTTTGTGAATGATACTCTTCGTGGTCTATCTCTAATCCATAGTTGTAAGTGCTTTGTCATTTATGACATTGTCTTTCATCTCAATGAGAAAGCAGTTCGCGCGGTCACGGAACATACGACAAAAAAAAAAAAATCCTAGAGATAATTATAGCTTGACAGGATCATTATAGTAAATACAAATGAAATTCAACGGGGAACATTTTCATTTAAGACCATATTGCGTCGTTAAATGACTTTCGAAACCTTTGGCGGCTCCAAAAGGAGCCGTTTGTTTTAGGCGAGAAACCCACATAGTGAGTTCACTTGCTGCTGGTGTACTTGGTCACAGCCTTGGTTCCTTCACTGACGGCGTGTTTCGCCAGTTCACCGGGTAGAAGCAACCTGATGGCAGTCTGGATCTCGCGAGAGCTGATGGTTGATTTCTCATTGTAGTGAGCAAGGCGAGAAGCTTCGGTGGCAATGCGCTCGAAGATGTCATTAACGAACGAGTTCATGATGCCCATGGCTTTGCTCGAGATACCAGTCAGGGTGAACTTTCTTCAACACCTTGTAGATGTAGATAGCATAGCTTTCCCTTCTCTTTCCTCTCCTCTTCTTCTTTCCATCGGCAATAACCTTTGCCTTTCCAGCTTTCTTCTCACCTTTCTTTCCTGCAACTTTTGCTGGCATCTTGATATATCACAATGATCAATAGTAACGTGGCATTTTTCGGTTTGTATTTATGGCGGAATCGTGAAAGGATCTATTACCATACGTATCGAAATTATCGATCAATGATTGGCTTATTATTATACTAACCCCGGGGGTCAGTTTACATGTCATTCTCTCTTTAATTGCAAAAAATTGCAAGGACATCAAAACATACAAAACTTGCTACTGATTGGTGCTTTTCGATCCTTTCTGCATAATAAACGAGCTATAGATATCAGAGTTAATTAAAAAACACTATTCATTTTGATTGAAGCAATCAAAGCAGTTCGTATCAACATGTCTGGTCGCGGTAAAGGTAAAGCTAAGGGCACCAAGTCCAAGAGCCGCTCATCCCGAGCAGGGCTTCAATTCCCAGTTGGTCGAATCCACCGTCTTCTCCGCAAAGGTAATTACGCTGAGCGTGTTGGCGCCGGTGCTCCAGTGTACTTGGCTGCTGTGCTCGAATATTTGAGCGCTGAGATCCTCGAGTTGGCGGGCAATGCTGCTCGTGACAACAAAAAGACAAGAATCATTCCCCGTCACCTTCAGCTTGCTGTCCGTAATGACGAGGAGTTGAACAAACTGCTGGCCGGTGTCACCATCGCACAGGGAGGTGTTCTTCCCAACATCCAGGCTGTACTTCTGCCCAAGAAGACTGAGAAGAAAGCAAAGGCTTGAATCAACTTTTACACGTTCAAAACGGCTCCTTTAGGAGCCACCAAATATTGCAAAGGTCTTAACTAACTAGATAGGAAGAGGAACTACCAACCAATGATTAACTAGAATATCACTTCGCAAGCCTTCCTTCCATTTTCCAATTTGAATTCATAAAAAGAAAAATCTGCAAGATCTCTGGAAATGAATGCTGGTAAACGACCAAATGCACCAAAAACCAGCCCCATAGGAAAATTTAGTAGACGCAAATGCGTGTATTAACTTTCGCGCCAAAATAGTTAACCGTTGAATTTTTTTTATATGTCGGCGACACTGGCATAAGCAGTGCGCCTAAATACAGCTTGCAAGTAAGCTGGTATGATTTTGATTTACGCATTTACTCTTCTGCTTCTCATGCGAGCAACGAAACAAACCTCGGAAAGGGAAGAGATCGGACGCGCTTTTGCCAGGGTTATTATCTAACGGGTTCGAAGAATGCAACTGGAAAAAGGTTACATAAATTTTCCCCTTTTAAAAACAAGATTAGAAATGAATAAATATTGTTACGCTAAGGAGTTTATTTATCATTCCTGTGCGCGCAATGTCCTAATTTCTGCTCTTCTGAAACATTACCGAAATGCCCGCGGATGTCAGTAATCATTTCCTTTTGCAATTAGCAGTATGAGCGAAGGATATACGATCTAAATGGGCTGGATAAAAAAGACACATTTATCGATCATGACTTTTCTTATATTTGGTGGCTCCTAAAAGAGCCGTTTGTTTTGTGCCAGTGGTGTCTGGTCGTGTCTGTTTAACCACCAAATCCGTACAGAGTGCGCCCTTGTCTTTTCAGAGCATACACCACATCCATGGCCGTCACGGTCTTTCTCTTGGCGTGCTCCGTGTATGTCACAGCATCACGGATCACGTTCTCAAGAAAGACTTTCAGAACGCCACGAGTCTCCTCGTAGATCAGGCCAGAGATTCGCTTGACACCGCCACGGCGAGCAAGACGACGGATGGCTGGTTTGGTGATACCTTGGATGTTATCACGAAGGATCTTTCGGTGACGCTTGGCGCCCCCTTTTCCTAGACCTTTTCCTCCTTTACCGCGTCCAGACATGTTGATTAGTACTCGTATGTAAGGGTTACGGCAATGAAACAAACGTTATTAAATTTTACTCGGAAAGATACGACCTCTCAGGAAACAGTATGGAAATACATGTTGCCATTGGTTGAGTGAAAATGTCCACGGATAATTTTCACGGTAACATTAACATGTATCAACATAAATCACATAAGGTTTCGCGCGCTTTTGTTTTCCAGTAGAAAACAATTCTGTTCTATCCAAAAGTAAGCTGTGAACCACGCTAAGAAAGGGTCCAGCTTTTTAGTTATATTACATGGAAAATTTAAGGTGTATAGTTCTCAGCTTATGCCCAAACGACCTTCCATTTAGTTCGGATCAAAATAAAATCATACACCCGTGAAATAAATTACATTTTTCTTACCTAACCAATCAAATCTCTTACTTTTGATCCAATCAGAAACAAGCCCGCCAGGTATAAATCAATTACTAGGTATAATTTTCTATAATCAGTTATTCTGAGTCGTTGACCAAGATGGCACGTACGAAACAAACTGCACGAAAATCAACCGGTGGAAAAGCTCCACGTAAACAGCTCGCCACAAAGGCAGCTCGTAAGAGCGCTCCAGCTACCGGTGGAGTTAAGAAACCTCATCGTTACAGGCCTGGTACAGTCGCTCTTCGTGAGATTCGTCGTTAACAGAAATCCACCGAGATCTTGATCCGCAAGCTTCCCTTCCAGCGTCTTGTACGAGAAATCGCTCAAGATTTCAAGACTGACCTGCGTTTCCAGAGCTCGGCCGTGATGGCTCTTCAAGAAGCCAGCGAAGCTTACCTCGTTGGTCTTTTTGAAGACACCAACTTGTGTGCCATTCACGCCAAGCGTGTCACTATCATGCCCAAGGACATTCAGTTGGCCCGCCGAATTCGCGGAGAACGAGCATAAGTGGACTTCACTTCAAATCTCAAACGGCTCTTTTAGGAGCCACCACATAAATAAAAGCAATGACCAATCTATGAGCCAATGCTATCCAGAAAATTAATTCCTAAACTTAAATTATAAAGACAAATTGAACCCATTGAAATTGTCATACCGCGCTTGCTTGATGCGCGTCTTAGCTGCAGTACAGAAATAAAAATTATGTCGGACCTAGATTCGTGCTTAGGAAAATGCCATGCTTTATTTCCTCAATAGCAAAAACAACCTAAATTTTAACCTATCTTTATTTACACTTTGTCTGAAGTTAGTTTGGCGCAAAAATTATGCAAATCTGCCTCGCTCACTGATATATTTCGCCATCTTTTAGATCGTTACCCCACTTGAAAACTTGACTCGTATAACATGAAATGTAAATTTGTAATTAAACCACAATTTCTTCATTCGAGTCATTCTGCAAGCCTCTTATCAGGGCACATATGAAAAGGCTTGTAGTTTTGTTCTTGTTCGAATGAAGAGGCAGCTTTGATTACCGTATGCTCAATTGTTTTCATTTATATGTAAAATTAAGGACTCTTTCCATCGCACCGTAACTTTATGATGTATTCTAACTTGAATTTTCATTTCTTGCCTGCTTGTTCTGACGGAATCCCGAACCCACTCATTTGAATATTGGACTGGTTATTTACAAATAGTCTGCTATTTCGCGTCCTTCTCGATCTCACATCTCACAGCTGCACATATAGGAAACCTGTTGCAGCGTTTAGCCAAAATCCTTCATTTCCTACTGCCTAGCAGTTTTGCTTTGTGAATAAACTTGCCATATTTTAAGAATGTATCAGTCGCTAACAAATAACTCCGCTCTTGGCATCAAATCTGACGGGAGTGGAGAGCGTGGAACCGGTCAACCGGTTCATGCAAAACTTACTCAACTTGTCAGCAAAGCAAGGTAAATCTACCAAAATATCCACAGAATCTTTTTAAATATCCGTTAATTTTCAAACGGTTGCTTTAATGTTAGCCCCATCTCCAAGTCATTTTCTTCGCTCGAGACATTTAACATACCTCTTATTAAGGTCACGTATGAAATGGCGGACATTGTAATTTTGTTTTTCTCGTTCGAGTTTAGAGGCTGTTCTGCTTCTGAATATGCATCTAAAGGCAAATTTTATCATATACATGATAAGTTAAGGACTTCATTTTTCCTATCATCGTAAAAATGCTAATAAAAAGTGACTCAAACGGAACTTCTTTCCTCGTTTTCCCGAAGATTCCTTCGGGATCTCAAATCTTTCTGGACTTTTGACCTTGAAATGTCATTCTTGACTAAAATAATTCAAAGTATAATTTACACCTACATCTTGTGAGAAAACATAGCTAAGGTCTTTACGATTAGGAAAGATCTGAAGTTATTGAATCAGCTCGTTATCGACCGAAATGTCAGGCGAACTAACACAGTTTGGACGACGCCATTTTTGAAGAGTTCTGTTTCCTCAGTGGTCCGTTCGCAATGCATAATATTTCGTCGCGCGCCTAAAGCGTTCATTTCTCGTCTTAGTCGCAAATAATCTACAGTACACAACATGTCCGAAGTAAAGCCATCTCCCAAGAAGAAGCCGGCTGCGCCCAAAAAGCCAGCCGATCATCCACCTTATTTAGACATGATCAAAGCTGCTATTGTAGCGTTGAAAGAGCGAAACGGTTCTTCCCGCCAAGCCATCGAGAAGTATATCAAAGCCAACTATAAGGTTGGTGAGGTCGGCTCACACTTGAAGATGGCTTTGAAAAGGGGTGCCGCAAGTGGAAAGCTTCTCCACACCAAGGGAGTTGGTGCTTCTGGTTCCTTCAAGGTAGCCAAGGAGGAGAAGAAGGAGAAGAAACCGAAGAAAAAGCCAGCTGCAAAGAAGAAGCCTGCTGCCAAACCAAAGAAGCCTGCCGCCAAAAAGGCAGCAAAGAAACCAGCGGCGAAGAAGGCTGCAAAGAAACCCGCCGCTAAAAAGCCAGCAGCGAAGAAACCAGCCGCAAAAAAGCCAGCAGCAAAGAAGCCTGCGGCCAAAAAACCAGCGAAGAAGCCTGCAGCTAAAAAGCCCGCCAAGAAACCAGCCAAGAAACCAGCGGCGAAGAAGACCGCCAAGAAATAAAAACCTAAGGAACTCTTTATTTCATCAAACGGCTCCTTTAGGAGCCACCACATTCAAAAAAAAGTTAGACCAACTGAGTAATCCAGATAAACTTTTGGATATTTTCAATTTTTTTGACCCACTAAAGGTCGCTCTATCTTCGATTAAATCAGAGACGTGTTGTGGTAATCGCATCCAAAATATATCATGGATATTGACCGCTAAAACTTCTGGCAAATCTAAGAGCGACCTGTATCTTATTTCTAATTATTATTTCTACTTACTATTACTAGTCGTTCATTGAATCAAAGACAATACAGGAGATTATCGCCAGCCTTAGCAGCTTTCATTGTTAATCAAATTTCCCCAAGCAGTTCTTAGGGAAATGTATTGAAAATAGTTTGCAGAATATGGATACTGATTTTAGTTATAAAGGATTTGTCCAAGACCCTCGATAACCCAATCTGTAAACGCAGTGCTAAATCTCACCATCAAATAGAGCGCGGACGACCATACAAAACCGTTTATGGGAAGTTAAAGAACGATAAAATAAACAACACAGAGGTATTCACAGATCGATTTATGACATACCAGCGTATCCAAACGCAGCCTGAAGCCAAATATTTCCTGTTGGAAACGTTTTATTGTACAATTTCCGAATTTAATTCCCACATCGACAATCCTACTAAACGCGAGTTTTGAAGGAAGTGTCTTGGGGTTCTGTCCTCTCTTCCCCACCAACGACGTGTATTAACCGCTGACATAATTTTTCTGAGCCGCGGTGCTAATCAAAGCACAGCTGTAAAACTATTTTCTCATAGCAAAGTAAGTCCAGAGACTGAAAAAACCGTTCGAACACTGATAGTTAAGCTATGAGCTGCAATTTAAAAATGGTTCAATTTGAGGCTTCAGTTCCCCTTAAGTGAGCCTTGAAAGTACTACCGGCTAAAGGTACAGCTAGCATATTTGCATATTTGCCCATTTTTTAAATCATGGTTTGCTTCACATTTAACTTCTCTACACCCAAAATTAATCTTACACTCCTTTGAATCACTTTTTTCAAGAACATGTTTACACTTATTTTTTTGATTTGGTATTGTACCTCTAGCTGGTAGGATCTAAAGGGGCCTAGAAAATACTACCGGCTAGACGAACAGCTTGCATATCTAGTCAAATTTGCCCAATTTTTACTTCTGGTTTGCTTCACATTTAACTTTTCTGTGCTCCAAATTAGTCTTGCACTCCTTGGAATCACTTTTTTCATAAATGTATTTACATTTAGGTTTTTATTTGGTCTTGTACCTGTAGCAGGTAAGATCTTAGGGGCTTAGAAAATACTAGAGGTACATCAAGGTGTTATATTTATATTATCATTGATCATCCTATGCCAATTTTAACCTTTCACTATGAAGTTTGTTCAAATGATTAACATTTCTCAACTTGTGGGTCTCTTGAATTCAACATTGGGCCTACTATAGCATCAAGGGACTGATTGGGCTCGTGATTGACAGTGAAATGTCAAAGATGCTATGATGAAACTTTATTAAAGTGTCTAAAGAAACCACCTAGCTTAGGTTAAAAACCTGTGCTAATTAGGGGACCACGTAAATAAATATAAATTAAGTTAAAAAAATATTTGAATATAAGCGTAGGTATAAATGATATTAACAATATTTGCACTAGGACAAATGTGTCTATGAATTACAAAGATGACAGCACTTGCATCCATTATCCATTAGTGTAACTAAATCTAATGTATGTATTTTGCTTTTGAAACATTTTAAGGTGGTAACTTCTCTCAAGTCTGGGGATAATTTTCCCCAGAGACTGGGCCCTAAATGGCAGAGGGAGTGGCCACCATATGTTACCGTATTGTACCTGGCAGTGGAGAAATCAGACTGCCTTAGGTTATAGTTAGAACTATGCTTAATAAAAGTGTCACTACTTTAGGAGGGACATAGATTGTTCTTGGTTTTATACATTAAAACATAAATGTCTTGTAATCTCCTGTTCTGCAAACTAGGGAGTTCTGCTCTTTTTAGAAGTTCAGGGAAGCTAGCAAGGTTCCTAAAAACAGCATGCAGGCCCCTTTCTTGCATCCGCTCGATTTTACGAGAATCACTGGCTCAGCAAAAGTGCCATACAAGGTGGTAATATGTAAGGTGTGGCAATATTGCTGTTTTAAAAAGCAACAGTTTAGCATTTTGTCGGAATCAAGTTTCTAAGTCTCATAAGGACGCCGATTTAGTGATCGGCATTTTTACAAATTATGTTAAATTATGTGCTCTGAAAAATTCAGCTTGGAATCTATTGTGACACCCAACAATTTGAGAGAGTCAGTTATACTAATATCATGATTATTTAAGCTGATGACTTAAGTGGTGTTATTATCACTTTGGCCATGTCCTGGATGTTCATAATTTGATACAACAACAACAACAACAACAACGACAACTTTATTTGCACCCTGAATTAAATTAAATTTACATTACAAAAAAGTAATAAAACAAATAAAATAAAGTGCATGGCTGCCCAAAATAACCACCAGGCTAATAGAATTGAGCAGCCATCATATTTCTTCAAGTTCTCTGCTAGAAGATTTGAGTTGTACCAATTACTGGCTTGCTGTGCACTTTCCTTTAGCATTGACTTAACAGAGGACTGATCCCGCCCTGTGTGGTATATCTGATGATCGTGCACGTACATAGACAAGTTAGTTGTTACACAGTACGACAAATCGTTCTGAAATATATTCCAAAGTAAGGGATCTAGAGCAGAACCCTGTGGACAACCTCAGTTAACAGTCCTATTTGAACTGACAAGGTCCCCATTCCTCACCCGGTAATTGTGATCAACAAGCAATGTTTTCCTTTTTGCTTTTCAAAGTTGTTAGTACCAGTGAGCTAAACAAATGAGAGTATAGAAAAAGCTTTTTTGTAACATTCAGTGTCTTACTCAATACATAAGAAAACCAACTCATTCTCTGCTTTCATTAATTCTACATAACTTATAGCTGAAAATTGTTTATGTGCATTTTTCATCCACGTTTTTGCAATCAAGGTGACTGGGTGACAGGGTTGCTACTCTCCCTCTAACCTTAAAACTCCTAGAGGTGGTTATCATGTAACTTCTCCCCATACCACCCCCACATGATCCAGTAAACAGGTAATGAGAATACTCAAACTTATCAGGTTGAAGTTATCTTAATCTACCACCAACTTCTTTTAATTGATTTACAGCTAGAGGGGGGAACTAACTGTAGGACCTTGGAAGTTAAGGGGTTAACTCTGCTAAACATCAATTATGCTGCTTGGTATAGTATGAAGAAGGAAAAAAATTTGTTGAGGCAGATATTTCAAATAGTTGACATTGTCAGTCACAGTATAGTGATTATTCATTTTTTTTTTTAAAACGAGTAGCCTGCATAGCTGGTGGTTTTGTGTTCTCTAAAGAGATGAGTAGGATACAAAAGGGTTGGGACAAGATAGTTATTTTCAGCTTCACCACTCATCCCTGAGTGCACCAAAAACCGCTTGCTGAACAAGTTACTTTAAAGGGGAAATGTGTTCAGCTAATAAAACTAAGAAAACCAAAAGTATTAAAGTAGATATACATGCCAGATTTATTTCATACATGACCACAAGTACATTCGAAATACACAAGTGCATTATTCGTACTTTAGAGAATTCACCTCTTCCAGAAAGATGAAAGTGTTTGTACATCCAGGGAGAAATTCCTCATGGTTGTATTAAATCAAAAATTTCTTGGAGTGTCATATTAAGTATATTATCACTAATTTAGCACTCAATCCCTATAGAGGTTGCTTTCACTGATTCATGGTTTACTATGGTGTTATTTGTCCTTCCAAAAGTGAAGGAGGATGGAGGAGGAAGACTTGTTGGTCTTTTATATACACATACAATTCCAGGAAATATTGTAATTTAATTTGCTTCAATGCCCTTGGTAAATGACAAAACAGTGACCCTTCATGTCAAACACTGAAAACACTCAGAAGTTTTGGAGAGTACAAACAAAGTAAAATATCATTCTGTCAGTAATTGAGTACTTTCTCTCTTCACTGCTTGGGTTTATTCAGTGCAGAGGACTTCAAGTAGTTATCCTGAAATGCTGTTTACAAGAACCAATCATCAAGAAAATGAATTTATAAAATTTGTCCACATCTTAATGCTATTTGATATTCATATTATTCTGATCAAAAGCTTGACATTTGTACTTAAAGGTAGTTTCTTAATCTTGTGAAAATTTCAGTTTCCTGCATTTCAGTTACAGTATATTGCAATAACTAGGGATGGGATAGTAAGTAATAGACTAAGACCTTTGGCTGAAAATGCAAGATTAAAATAGGAAATGGAAAAGGTGGAGACCAGCCAGGACCTTTGCTGAAACTCTGAGAGTAAAACTTATAAGTAAGAGAATCAGAAACAAGAGAAAACAGGTGAAAATGAGAATTCATAACATGTCAGTCAAAGATATGCTGTATTTCTTATACCAGATCCATTAAGGTCTAATACTAGCTCCAATAGGCCATTTTCAATGTATTAAAATTCAAACTTGGCTCCTCCTTCCAACCTCAAAGCCATGTTAGAATTTTACTATATTGAAAATGGCCTAATAAGGTTCAAATGTTTAGTACTCACTTAACCTTTTGTCTCCTTCAAATCAACAAGACGGAAATTCTGCTTACAATACCAAAACAATAACAAGCAGGCAAAGAAGAAGTCTGCTGCCAAACCAAAGAAGCCTGCCGTCAAAAAGGCAAAGAAACCAGCGGCGAAGAAGACTGCAAAGAAACCCGCCGCTAAAAAGCCAGCAGCGAAGAAACCCGCAGCTAAAAAGCCAGCAGCAAAGAAGCCTGCGGCCAAAAAACCAGCAGCAAAGAAGCCTGCAGCTAAAAAGCCCGCCAAGAAACCAGCCAAGAAACCAGCGGCGAAGAAGACCGCCAAGAAATAAAAACCTAAGGAACTCCTTATTTCATCAAACGGCTCCTTTAGGAGCCACCAAATTAAATCAAAAGTTGTGCCCAACTGAGTATTCAAACAAACTTCGGTAATTCAGTTAATTTATGATATTTTAGATTGTTTTTACTAATTAAAGGTCTAGTTGCTCTTTCCTCGATCAAACAGAGGTGTGAGAAAATGGAGGACGTACTGTTACAATTACATTTGTTGCATATTGGGTGTGCACTAAAACCGCTGAACAATCTTTGTGTCCTAAGAGCGACCGCATCTAAATTTCTACCCACAGTAATATTGACGACAAATCTGGAAATTATCGCCAACCAAAGACGCTTTGATTGTCAATTAAATTCTCCTTGTCAGAAGTAAAAGAAAAGTATCGATAAGAGTTTGAGAATATGAATACTGATGTTAGGTTGTAGAGGTTACTGAAAGACCCTCAATGTTACACTCTATTGGCAATTATATTTTCACAAAACTTGAGATCAAATGAGCCACGATAGTTCAAATGAACTTATTTCTTCGGTAGCAAAGGAGTAATTCCAAACAAACTGCGCACTTTATTTCGGGTAACTAAGCCCACTACCTCGTGCCCAGACCTTTAACAGCCAAGCGGCGGCGAGGAACCAAAATTTCAGTTCGACGGTGGGATCTAGTTGCGAGATTAAGCAGACAGGTACAACTATTTTAGGGGGAAACTATGCAACAACTTAAAAATGTCCAGGCGGGGGAAATCGCGTTGGACCAAGTCGCAAATGGTTTTTGCTCTGGATCTGGTCAGTCACTATTCCAGTATGTGGTGCGAATTTTCTTAACCACGCACCTAGTGTAGGCAGGACAACACACAACAAACTCTGATTGGTTAATGAAAAGCTCAATCTAAAGCTGCTCCATAAAATGATCTTAATAACTCGAAGTGCCACCGATATTTGTAAACTGTCATTGGATTTTGTCTTTGTATTACATAACTGCACAGTTCCAGTGTCTTCAGGGAATGTAAAGTTGGAGTAGAACTTCCGAGAAGTGTTTGTGGGCGCGATACAACGTAAGCCAACATTAAAAACTGACATCAACTTTTGTTCACTTAAGCTTGGTTTTAAACAGATGATTCGTGACGACGATACGTTTCATCGGTTGACGCGGTCTACGATTTACAAGATTCAAAATTACACTTTCGGCAGATTTTAAAAAATAGAGAAGTAAGAAAAGAAAGGAATAGAGCAGCAAATATAGGAAAGTATAATGAATGACAAAGAAAGCCCATTAAACGAAAATATATCAACTTATGTCTATTTATTACATCTCGTGTTGATAATTGTAACAGTCTTTTGAATGGGCTGCCCAACTACCAGCTTAACAAATTGCAGTGAGTTTTGAATGCATGAGCCAGGCTAGTTTGTAATGCATCTAGGTTTTGTCATGTCTCACCCCTTCTTCGCGGTCTGCATTGGCTTCCCGTTAAAGCCCGGATAGAATTTAAGATTCTGCTTATTACGTTCAAAGCAATTGACGGCCTTGCTCCTAAATATCTCTGTGATTTACTAACATTTAAATCGTCCTTATATAACCTTAGATCTTCAGATAGTATTTTACTTTCTATACCAGCTACTCGATCCAAGACGTTAGGTGATCGAGCTTTTATGGTAGCAGCGCCAAGGCTCTGGAACTCTCTTCCAAAAGAACTTCGTGCGATTACTAACGTGAACCGTTTTAAGGCGCATATTAAGACTTATCTTTTTAAAACTTTTTATCAGTGAGCAATTTTATATTCAGTTCCATTCTCAGTTTGACATATCATATTGTTGAAATTAATTTTTAATTTAATCAAAAGTGTAATGCGCTTTTGATCATTGTATGTAAAAAGCGCACTATAAATTGCGAAATTCTTATTTCCTTGATTAAAATTCGAGAATAAGCTCGATCCAGTTTAGCTTGTCCACTGGCTTCTACTCTCTTTCATAAACCACGATTCAGTTAGATGGTTACTTATGCAGACATTCTTCCTTGAGCAGAAGGGCTATTCTGGGACTTTAAGCTGCCTAAAATCGCATGAAGTCGCCTCAAGACGCCTCGAATTCGCCTAAGCCGCCTTAAATCGCCTAAGGTCGCAATGTTTTTCTGCCAATTTTTCTTGAGTCGCTTGTTTTTCGGGGACTAGGCAAGTTAAATGTATATATCCTACGTCCCTAAAACATTAGATTATTAGTTCAAGGGTATTTGAAAGGTACACTAAACAACGGCCCATTAATCAGGAATAAATTACAAACACTAATGAAATGTGTAGAAACAATCAAAATTTCCTATGGTGTGAGCGAGAGGGAAACTAGAACTTACTTCAGAAGCTAGAAATTAACTTACTTGCTCGCTTGATTGATTGCTAATAACACGTGTTCGGAATGTCGCAGTTAAAAAGGCACTGGTGTGGTTCATAACCATTGGCTTCCATCCACGTCTTCAAGATTTGCATAACAAATTGCTCAATCCAGGAAAAGTCCAATATGTAGCATGCTTGTACCCAGCCTGAACCTCTCTTTTATCGATGTCTAGTTCATATTAACGTGGCTGAACACAGTTTTCGCGCGCGCTTTTTGCTGAATAATGCAGTTCAGCGCGCGCACAAGGATTGCAAAAATCAAACGTGCCGTCAATAGAGCGGTCGTTTGACACGTATCCGCACTATCTGTGCTATTTTTCTCTATAGTTGGCGCGGTTTATTGAGGGCTTTAATTTTTTATTACAAAGACATGTTAGAAAAGTTAACGGCGCAAAGAACCCAGCAATTCTCTACCTTGTAACTCTGGAACGAACCGCATCCCTTGACGAATAAATGTTTGTCTCTCATCAACTATGAAACGAACTTGTGGCACGACTAACTTTTCTTCGACAAATGCAAGCATTATGGCCAATCTTTGCATCTGAAGCCAGTTATTGAGCTTGTGCTGGAAATGGTTATGTCCACTTAGCAAGCCTTCTTTGAGGTCATTTGATAATTTCGTCACAATCCCTTGGTTTTCTGTTGCAAAATGTAAGAGGAGCATCTTTGCCGTGTGTGTGCGACATGCTTCATGATACACTTATAAGTTTTCCATCTTCCTCTCTTTATATTGCAGATACCGAGAAGAGATGGTCCGCCTTCGATACTGAAACTGCCAATTGTTCATATAATTAACGTAAATACTGCGAACGAATTTCACGTGCAAATGTCACCAAGCCGCAAGTGGTTACACCCACTGTTTGAAATGCTAATCCGTAAAAGGAACCGATCAGTTGAAATGGGGTTTATAAAAGAGGGTAAAGGCTAGTGGACAAGTTAGAATGTCAAGTTTATCTTCTAATGTTTACTCAAGAGAAAAGATCCGTACAAGTGTCCACTCGGTGGAATTGTGGTTATTAAAGAGGGCAAAATCTCGTGGACAAGCTAGAAGGTCAAGGTTATTCTCTAATATTTGTGTTAGCCACTGGATGCGAGACCGACCTCTACAGGCGTGTAACATAGACGAGTGTAATGATATATGCATTACTGCTCAAGCTGGTTCAGTCAAGGTGGCTGGATATTGGCCGAGTTATTTTAATGCATTTTTATGGACCGATACGAGTTTGAGGTCCTTAAAAACAAAGCAAAAAAAGAGGCTAATATCTAGCCATCTTTACCGAACAAGCTTGGTCAAAAGAGGACAATAGAGGAATTATTACGGAGAAAATATATTTTCCTTTAACAAGAATTGCAGTATTTCGGTAATTTTAATATCAAATTGCGCTATTTCGGTATTCTTCGAACCTGTAGGTGTGGTTTTGTAGCATTTTGGACGGTATTGAAAAGATACCCTCCATCGTTTTTCCAGCGAGGCTATTCCAGTTCCCAGTTTTTCAGAAACAGGCTGAAATCGACAATTGCCCGTCGTAGCGTTCATTGACAAATTCTTAATTGTTATTGCCGTATTAATTGCTCTAAACTTAACATACAAAGTAGTGGTTTCGGTATGACATCGACTTTTTAAAAAGTGAGCTATGCACAATGCTCGTGTATGTTGCGTGCGTACAACAATATTTCTCTATTTAGTGTAAGTGGGTTATTTAAAGCAGATAAGTGTTTTTAGTACTAGCTATAAGCCTTCTTGACACCCATTTGGCTAAATTAAAGGTAGTCTGTAATGCAGTTACAAAACAACTCATCATTAAAAAAACACAACTAAACGCTATTTGAATGGCAAGATGGGCGGGTACCGGTCGTTTCATACCCAGTCCTTTGCGTACCTAGTTAGTTGAATCGTTACGAACCCATACTATTCAATTATGTTTTCCATGTTAAGTATTTTATAGTAAAAATAAAATAAACGAGTAAACGAATTTATCACCGTTAATAACAAAGGGAGAAAAAAAAAATCACACTTACACCAGCATACACTTACACCAGCACAAAGCATAGTTAATGGAGGGGACAAAGTCACAAGCATATACAGCAGACTGTTTTAAAAATGTCACTCTTACTCTCGCGCTGGGAAATGATTTAGTGTTTACGTTAAGGTCACCGATGAGTGGAATTTTGTTGGTATCTCAATCGCTTCACACTTCTAACTTGTCGTACACAACACTCGACATATGTTCACGCGCTCGCGTCAGGTAATTCGAATTAATGTATATTGGCACGGGTGCGAATCGACTGAATTTGGATAGGAAACGACTGGGAACGAAATGAATGGATGCCGGTTGAACTCATCGGATTGTTGTGTTTCCTGTTACCTAAGTGTGATTCCTTCTCAGTAAGACTGAGAAACTTAACGCACATCAGACAGTCTTATGATCATGGGAAGACAAAGGCCCGCGTCCAAGACACAAAATGGGGGCGGGTTCAATCCAATCAACTGGTGAAGGAAAAGGTGAAATAAATAGTTGTGGTTGAATTGTACATGCCTCTAGCTGGTGTCTGAAACAGATTTAAATCACAAACCAGTTTATTCATGTTTTTCCCGATCAAGGTGACCAGGTAGCTTTAAATTAATGAGACAGGGTTGTTACTCTTTTTAACCTTTAAAATTCTAGTGGTGATTATCATGCAACTTTTCCCTATACCACCCTTACATTATCCAGCAATCAGATAGTGAGAATACTCAAACTTATCAAGAAGTTTGTTGCAGTTAGAGAAAAGAACTAACAATCAGATCCAGGGAGTTGAAGGGTCAACTACTCTGCTAAACATCAATTATGCTGCTTGGAGGCAAAATATTTGCTATCGAAGATATTTTAAATAGTTGACATTGTCCATCACAATAAAGTGATTATGTATCAATTTTTTTTAACATGTAGCTTGCAAAGCTGGTGGTTTTATGCACTCTGAAGAGATGAGCAGGATGCAAATGCTTAAGAAAGATAGTTGCTCCCTGCTTCACCACTCAACTCATCCCTGACCACATCAAAACCTTCCAGCTGTACTAGTTACTTAACAAGAGGAAATATGTTCAGCTAATAAAACTAAGAAAACCAAGTTTGAAGGTAGATATAAATACCAGCTTTATTTTACAAATGACAACAAGTGCATTCCAAGTATACAAGTGTATTATTCATAGACAATTCACCTCTTCCAGAAAGATGAAAGTCTTCGTACATTCATGGACAAGTGCCTTGGGGTTGTATTAAATTAAAACAGTTCTTGGAGTGTCATATTAAGTATAGCATCAATAATTTAGTACTCAATCCCTATAAAGATTCATGGTTTACTATGGTGTTATTTGTCTTTGCAAAAGTGAAGGAGGATGGGGGAGGAAGACTTGATGGCCTTTAATATACACATACAATTCCAGGAATTATTGTAATCTTGCTTAGATGTCCTCACTAAATGACAAAACAGTGACCTTTCATGGATCCACTGAAAACACTTAGAATTTTTGGAAAGTACAAACCAACAAACAAACCAAAACAAAAAATGAAATTAACTTTACAAACTTGAAATACACAAAAATAATCCATAAAACTCTTTCAAATGATAATTAGAAAGAATACATAATTTTGTGTAATGTTCATATCAGTCAATCCAATAGAGTAAAAAACATTTTAAAACCATTTAATTTCAATATTGAGAACTAAATTATTGTCATCCCTGGGTCCTTAAATAATTTGAAATGATCTTGAACAACACTATACTGTTGATTCACTTTTGCGATTTATGATCATGGAAATATATTTCACAAAAAATTTGATGTTTTTAATCTGGTTTGTGGTGTAAAAAGGTAACAACAGTGATTGCATTGTTAAGATTTAAGAAAGTTAGCAGTCTTGCAGATCACAATAAATATATAGATTTTTACTAAAATTGTAAAAATTCCCAATTTTAAACAAATCAGCCATGTTAACAGCAATTAACTTTCCACACAGGACTCCAACTTTTGTAATGAACTTGCATTTGATGTCCCCGTGCTTTGTTTGAATTTACACGTAGGTTGGGATCGTGGTTCTTTTGTTGAAGTATCACCCTAGGGAAAAAAGGCTGACTTAAAGACCAACTATTACTCTTTCATATGAAAAAAAATGATGGTAAAGGGCTTGTGTAAAGAAAGAATAAAGGTGCATAAATGGCAAAGAAGTTAATTGAATACCCTGAAACACAACTTATTAAGAAAAAAATAAATCACACTTGTGATAGACACAAACATCTTTTTAGCCTGCAGTGCTGCCATGTTAGGTTTGATTTGGAGTTATAGCCTTTATTTTTTCCTGTTGCCCACCCCCTTGGTACAAATTTCTTTTCCTTCCCAGCCTTCTGCTTCCATTAAAATAAAAAATGATGGCCATGATTTTTACTTAAAAAACACTGAGCACTAGGTCACCAAATTATGCCTGCTCTGCAGGCTAACATCTTTTCTTGTTTCATAATGGAGCTCAAAATTCAGTATCTTTCTTATGAACATTTTGAGATCTGCCAATCCATTGTGATTGTTTTGAGATAGTTATGGAGTGTAAACTGTTGTGACAACCTAATGATAGAAAGATGTTTTGCAAACCTCCTCATCCTCACTGATATCAGCTTCTTGAACAAAACGATCTAGTGTTAAGGCTTCCTTGAGAAGTGATTCATCTGATACTCTAAAACAAAAATTGTGAAACTTGAGAAAACTATAACTCTGAGAAGTGATGAACAATGATGGGCTACTTCTCCAAAAAATTTCAATAACTATCTTTAATACCTTTTCAAGAACCTTTAATCAAATTTAAACGTACATGTATCTTCATTTCCTCCACAAAAGAGTAGCAAAACTTACAGTTTGTTAAAGGCATGTAAATTGTCCTCATCCCAGCTGGAAACAACACCATTTTTAATGTCTTCTGCAACCTAATAGAACACATGAATAAAATAGTTATGCAAATCACAAAAAAATGCATCAAAAGTTTCACTTGTTATAGAATTTATATCCCACTGTAGTGTTAACAAAAAAAAAACTTGTTGATTTAGGAGCAATGTGGAAGTTACAATGTATTGCATTGGTAGAATCTAGTACAATTTAAGCATCCCATTCTTTTGATTAAGAAATGTGTCAGTCTTTTCTTTAGTTATTTTCTCACAAAGTAAGGCAATAGCCCATTAACAAAACATACAATTTATGCGTTGCATCAACTATGTCTGTAGACTTTATTTATTGATTACACAACAACATATACCTGCAAACAAAGGTGTAAGGTTTACAAAAATACATCACTAAATAGAAAACTATTTACAATCTAAACGAAACTAAAAAGACATCTGTAGATAAAAGTTTCCCTAAAATGTTCCGTATGAAGAATGTACTCACTTCAAAGTTATATCCAAAATCTGTCCAGTTATATTCCAATACTCTGGATCCCACCTTTCTGCAAACATAGAAATACAGCCAGCCAGAATGTTTGTGTAATTGCATATTTGCATGGTTAAGGGCAAATATTGGAGGGACTGGTGTACTTCACATGGAAAAGGAACTCCTTATCATTTTCTTCTAAATGCTTTCAATACTTTCAGAGCCATAAAAGTGTTTTGACTGTGGTAACTACTGTATTAACAAAGGGATTTAATCTATTCTAATCTTCAGGAGTAATGCAAGAATTTTGTAACAATCTACTGAGTAGTTGCTCAGAAGACATAGAAGACTGACAAATGTGAAAAATACTTTGCCTAACAATTTTGACATTTTTTTTTTTTTTTGCTGGAGAGGCCATTTGAAACAGTATTTGACTGAGAAACAAAGTAGTTATTTAAGAACTGGAACCTGAAGGAAAAGGAAAAAAATCAAATAGAGAGAGTCGGTAAATAATCATTGTAATTAGAGAAAAAATGAGTTCATTTTATTAATAGCCAATAGATCTGTTTGAGTTTATTTGACCATGCCAAACTATTAGAAAACTTGACATGCAAATTTGTACGCCCTTCCTTAGGTTTCAATTAATAATTATAGGTAAGGTTACTTGTTCATGTACCTTCAACTTTAAAGAAAGAAAGAAAAAAACACAAACAACAGATTTGATCTAACCTCATTTCCTCTAAGAACTTTTTATATGATGCATCAAGTCCTTAGAGATATTCTAGGGGAATCTCACTTTCATAATCCTGTCAAGTAAAAAAACACCAAAATGAGCCCCAATTGGTGGGAGCTGGGTAAATAAACATAAGAGACAACTTTGTGATACACGTGTAAAAATGCATTGTTAAATACCCTTCCTCGTCCATGGATGCGTTGAGTGCAAGTCTCAGGAGAAACATCAAGGTACAGGGTGGTGTGAGGAATTGGAACTGACTGTAAAGCTTTTTTCTTCAAGTCCTTGTAATATTCATAACCTAACACAAAATGAAATGTAATTATGTCAAAAAATTGTCAACCTTTAGTAATACAATGATCGGTAAAACAACTTTAAATTGTATGCCATTTAAATTCAGGACCAAATTTGACACACTGAATTGACAATTCTTCACTTTCTTCAAAGAGCACCTCTAAAATTTACGTCAGTTATTTATCATTCTGACTTATAATCTACATGGTTTCATGAAAATCCAAGCATGACAGCATCAAGTTATCTTCTTATTATAACCACGTTCTGTCTATACAGCTGCATTTCAATTGTAAATAAGGTTGTAATAAACCTTTCAATTATTCCCTTTTTATGCCAGTTTAATTAATCTTGATCTTGAACAGAAGGATTGTCAGTCATTACAAGATCACAACTCAAAATCAGTTTTAAATCTCATTCATCTTTTTGTACTTAGTCACTTGAAATAGAATTTAGTAACAGTTTCACTGCATTTTATCAGAACATTTACAACCAATCAGCTTTGTTATACACATACTATAGACAGTAGGCGAAAAAAGGCAGACTTGATTAGTATTCTTTAGTATTTACTCATGTAGATTAGCCCAACTGGCCCTGGCAGTATGTCAAAGGAACAGTACAACCTTAAATCAAAGCTGAGGCTAGTTTGGTTGGTTCAAATGAGTGAAAAAGAATACCAATGGGTGCTGCCACCTATGCATACTGTCTCTAGAGATCCACAATTCAGTTACAATTATTTGATTGTTACCTTTATTCAAGAAATATTCACAACTAATGCCATCATATTTTCTCATCTGGGTGCTTATTCAAAATCTTGGGAAGCGTAGGGGGATAGTGGCACTTATTTGAAGGAGAGCACTTCACTGAAGGGAATGCTCATTAAGAAGCTATCAACCTGTGCTGATTCCATGGACATTGAAGCTTTAAAAGGTAAAAATAAAATAGCAATAGAAAAAGGTTTTCCTTATCTCGACCATGTACCATGACAGAGGAAGTAGGGTGCTTATTCAAGAGAAGTGCTTGGTCAATATTGTGGGCTAGGGGGTGGGTGCTTCTTTGAGGGAGGGCCCTTATCAGAGCTGGGCTCTTGTTCAAGGAAATATGGTACTCCACAAGAGGAGTGAGGCCTGAGACTACATACCTTCTGAAGATATTGTCCCCTGTTGAAAATTCACTTCAGCAAATACTGTGTCACTGAAAACTGATCTATCCAACAGCACGCCTTGGCCTGTAAAAGATATTGACATTGTAAGAATTACCATACTCACATGATAGTGGATCAAATTTGGTGGCATATATGGGGCTTTGAGACTAATTAAATGACAAACAAATACTTGTGCTGGCTGGGGAATGAAAATAAAAGTTAAAATACTTCACCAGGCATATTCCACTACAATGAGTTTTGAGTAAATTCTTACAACTATAAAAGCTTTTATATGCTGGTAAGTAAGGAACGTGGAGGCACGGTGGCCTCATGGTTAGTGCGCTCGACTCCAGATCAAGTGGTCCCC